GTATGATGTTTTGATTATGATCAGCGTTTCATTGAGTATTTTATGTTTATTAGTTTTCGAGTTAGATTGCAATTCATCGGTCCGCTTTTGAGCCAAACGGACTATACGCATGGAGCAAGATGATGAAATCTGAAGTAAGGAGTTGTTTTTAAAAAGCTGTTTTGTTTTACGCCGCTTACAAATAAAACAAATATTAGGTGAATACTGGTGATGAGAAATATCATTTTGTCTAAAACGTTAACATAATAAATATATTCAATGCTTACCACAAAAGGCGACTATGCTTGTCGTAAGAGGCGACTCACGGGCTTGGGTGGTCAGGCTCGCTGACTTGGTTGACACATGTCATCGGTTCCCAATTGCGCAGATCCATGTTCATGCTGTTGATCACTGGATTGTCTGGTCCAGACTCGATTATTTACAGACCACCGCCATATAGCTTGCATATTGCTGAGTGCGGCGTAAAACTAATCTCACTCACTCACTCAGTACAGCCTTGGAGCAAGGCCAATCTGTAACAGCTGGAATGAAATACACTGCAGATTACTGAAGTTTCTGAACATAGAGGATCACAGGGCTACGGAAACGCTGAAGGGACATGAGGAGGATAATTTTATATTTTTTTATATCGTGCACACGAGATACTAAAATGTGCGCGCGATATAATATAGTATGCGCACGATATAATATAGTGTGCGCACGATGTGATATAGTGTGCGCACGATATAATATAGTGTGCGCACGATGTAATATAGTGAGTGCACGATATGTTATATCGTGCGCACGAAATAGAGAGAGAGGATTTTAAAAAATGATATATCGTGCGCACGAGATACTAAATTGTGCGCACGATATGTTATAACATATCGTGCGCACACTATACTATATCGTGCGCACATTTTAGTATCTCGTGTGCACGATATAAAAAAAATAAAATTCTCCTACGCATGTCCCTTCAGCGCTTCCGTACAGGGCTCCTCCGTATTATGATATACATGTATGAAGATTATTTTACAACATACGTTTCTGTAAAATATATTCAGAGAAGCCAACTCCAAATTGGTGCAGTTAGGAATCTGAGCTCCCTAAGATTTTCCCAACAACTTAGGGATCTCTATAAATTGTTGCACTCAAGGAACAAAAATTCCTATGCCATTAAACATAGCGACAACTGAAACCGGTTTGCAGTACTCTACAGCAGTGTTTGTGAATGTTAAACAGTGTGTGGAGTTTATCAGGCAGCCTACACAACTTACGGATTACTGCCTTGTGTAAACAATTTGAGAACTTCGGTAAATAAAGTGTTATATTTATTTAATTATCATTATTTATAGTCAAAGATGATCCTAGCCCTCCAGTAAGTAAGACTATCTATATCTTTGTTATATTTCGAAAAAAATCGGAATGCATTTGGCTTTGTTGACGGAATCGACATGCAGTTTTCGGGTTGATTCGGGAGGGTTGGCATCGCTGTATATTGTTTTCAGAGACTAGACGTTAGTCTAGACCTTGCTGTGGAAGATTCAGTGCAGTCTGTTGACCCAGATGTCCAGAGGTGTCACGACAGCTGGAGGGTTGATGAAACAGAACACGCGAGATTAGTCATATCGAACACCATCAAGCCACAGCCAACAGATGCTTGGCGATTTTAACCTTACAGTCCCAACAATGGATATTTTCAACAACCGCAAATCAATATTAAAACAACTGAAACGAAATCTTCGTTTTCGATTTCAGGTGGCAATTTTAAGTCCGTGATTAACCTCCGTAAAGAAGCTGCAGATGCACTTCCAACAAGAAATCTGACCCGGAACAGGATTTCTATCACTCACTTAGCTAGTCTCGCATGTAAATAATTCGGTGTTACGCTAATGGAATTTGCGCAAGCATTGTTTGAGTGAGTGAGTTAACACACAGCATTACTCCAGCTATATGGCGGCGGTCTGGTAAATATCAAGTCTGGACCAGACAATCCAGTGATCAACAGCACGAGCATCGATCTACTCAACTGATACGATGACGTGTGTCAACCAAGTCAGCGAGCCTGACCACCCGATCCCGTTAGTCTCTTCTTACGACAAGCATGGGTTACTGAAGACCAATTCTAACGCGGATCTTCACGGGTGTTTCACGAATAGATGATATTGAGGAGGAATATCCTAGTAAAATAATTATAACAATTACGTTCTTATAAATACACACAAAAACATTTCATATACATGTAAATATCCTACAGAATTGTACACCTTTTGGTCCTCTTTCAAACACTGATGGACCCGTGAAAATACGGGTTAGTGTTGGTCTTCAGCAAACCGAGTACTGCAAACCGGTTTCAGTTGTATATGGATCGCTATGTGTGAGTGAGTGAGTTAAGTTTTACGCCGCACTCAGCGATATTCTAACGCGAATATTGCTTAGTGCGGCGTTAAACAACCACATATATTCGCAAACGCCACGGACGTCGAAGACACCCACTCTCTATTAGGCAGCGAAGTATTATCCATTTGCTTTGGATTCGAACCCTAGACCCATTCGTTAGCCGTGCGAGCAGAACACTTCTTGTGTATTTCCCTTACACCGAGCGCCAACCAAGGTAACACGTCCCACGATTAACATGGCAGGGTTTGACCTAGACTTGCACACGTCTCTAAGGTAATAATTAATAGTTTAAATGATAATTTCTAAAAATATAAATATTCCTCTAACAGACTGGCGTCCTCAAGTCTCTAAAGTAATAATTAGTAGTTTAAATGATAATTTCTAAAAATATATATAAATATCCCTCTAACACACTGGCGTCCTTAGAGCTGTACATGTACTGTCCGCTTATATAAACTTGCCTCTTTAAAGGAAAGAATTACTATACATCCATGGGCTAAGAAGGCTAAGTTTGACCCTCCGCTCTCCAGGCAGACGCACTGTCTACTGGGCTACCGATTCGATCCTTAACGTGAGTTCAGTTACTAAACCATCGTAACCTAATAAGCAGATTGTCCGCTTATGCCGTTAATCGACTCAATCACTTGTGATCAAGCAGCGCATACAAGTCAAAGAAATCCCCCGCGGTAACCTTATCACTGGGCCATCACTGGAGCAATAAACTAATTATTCGTAAATCTTGACGTAGATAGAATAAAAATGCCAGCCTCTCATAAACATGTCGCCAACAGCTGGGTATTTTTAACATTTATTCATTTGTTATATTCCAGGATTTAACTTGCGAACGAAGTTAACTAGCTGGATCAGAACGGAGCGTGTTTAAAATATACATACAACAACTCAAGTATGGTGTATACACGGAATTGGGACAGAATGGAATTGTTTTACGCCGCTTGTAGGATTATTCCAGCAATATTACGGCGAGGAAAACCAGAAATGGGCTTTACACATTGTACCCATGTGGGGAATCGAACCCGGGTCTTCTGCGTGACGAGCAAACGCATCAACCACTAGGCTACCCCACCGCCCCTTATAAACCAAATACCTATATATAATGAGATTACAGCATCAGTGAAACTTTGGAGGTTATATAACGTTGCATTTCTTTTTTATAATGGCACATACAGGTGTATACCATATGCAGTTTCGGGGCGGTGGGGTAGCCTAGTGGTTAAAGCGTTGGCGCGTCATGCCGAAGACCCGGGTTCGATTCCCGACATGGGTACAATGTGTGAAGCCCATTTCTGGTGTCCCCCGCCGTGATGTTGCTGGAATATTGCTAAAAGCAGCGTAAAACATAGTCACTATATGCAGTTCTGAAAGGGACGTCTAAATTATTTTAAATATCTATTCCACTTCGGTGGGAAAGTTATTTACATGTATGGCAGTTTTAAGGGGTCATTTCAGCGTCCACTTCTAGCACACCCTTCGGAATCATGGGTTAGTGAGGCGTAAAGTTATATCGAATTATATCCGGAGGCGCCTAATTTCCTACGGGTATCAGCAAGTCTCTCTCTTCACTGAACATGTTTGATCTTATTACGATAGAGAACCTTTCTTCGTGGTAAATTATGCGTAGTCAATGAGATAAACGTTTATTTTTAATCGATCTGAGAGAGAAAGGTGAGGTGAGGTGAAATTGGGTTTAACGTCGTACTTGAGAATATTTCGCTCATATGACGACATCCATGCGTGTGTATGTGTATGTGCGGTTGCTTGTACTAGCCCAGACTTAAGCTGGTTTTATAGTGCTTGCCCACGGAGATACCATGCCGCAGTGAAGCATGAATACCCCACTCAGACACATTATAATACTGACTCCGAGCCGACCAGTCGTTGTACCCATTAATGCCAGGCAGGGACCAACAAGTACCATATTTTAATGTCTTTTGGTTTGACGCGGTCGGGGATCGAACCCGCTGTCCGGGCGGACGCTCTTACCACTACACCATGGAGGCGGAGAGAGAGAGAGAGAGAGAGAGAGAGAGAGAGAGAGAGAGAGAGAGAGAGAGAGAGAGAGAGAGAGAGAGAGAGAGAGAGAGAGAGAGAGAGAGAGAGAGAGAGAGAGAGAGAGAGAGAGAGAGAGAGAGAGAGAGCTATGGGATGAAACAAATATTATTTATATTATTTTTAACATACCAGTGATTATTACCTAATTTGGGAATTTATTTGATTGTAAATATAGTTTGCCTGACAAATAGGTTGATGTATCTCAAGTATATATCCTTTATAATAAACAACATTAATAGAGTTTATTTAAACTTTTATTATGTTTTTATTACTGTTTTAACAATAAATCGTACACCTATCGTCACTTGGGACAACCAGTTCACAGACTAGCGCTTTCCATACACTTGTATAGGTTGTGCTGTCAAATGTTTACCAACAAAAGACTCTCACCCTCTAAATATACACACCTGCCATTTCGTCAATGAACCAGCAACTTTTCCACAGTGTAACACATAAGTAGTGCGCTGTCAAACGCACTTACAATCGATCTCAGACAAATGCTACAACGATCACGCCGCGACTTGAAGACTTCGCTTGAAGCAGACGAAGAAAACACCGCATGTATGCTCCGCCATCAGCGAGCGCTGCGTCCGGAGATCTCGGCTAGAGCATCACTACGGCCGAGGCATGTGAACTCTAGGGCTGTATTTATAACCGCCCCTGGGAACGAACAGGTTGTCGTTTAACCTACAAAACATGTCAGATAATGACTGTTGTTCACATGTCGGGAATTCACAACTGAGGCGCCGTTCCAGCTGACGACCCAGGTAAGTTAGAATGTTGTGATCATACCGAGAAGGCGCGCATGGACGTGATATTGGTAAATGTACCGCTTCCCGATTGCGAGTGTTGATACTAACACGTGCCTGGTTGTCACCGAGTCCTACTTGACCCCCTCATGATGATATAAAGCCCGTGAAGGAATGTAGTATGCCAGCAATCGTTATGTTGCCAGACAGATGTGTAATTGTCGGGTGTTCACCCTCGCGTTATGCCCATACGGATGTACCCGACCTGACGCCGACGACCAAACCGGTGTTCAAGTTGTTTTGATCCTTGTGAAATAATATATAGATCTAGTTCATCTGGCAGTGTTAATTCCTGTCCCAGTCGGTTGTATTATTGTAGGAGCTGTGACGGTATAATATCGGACCGAGATATACGAACTGTGTTTATATCGTGTCCTTAACATGTTGTAGTTCAGTGTCCCTTTCGTAAATGTTGACATGACACCGGGCTGGCGGTCTGACGGGACATTTATGTCGATAAATAGGTTTCCATGTTAAAACAACACGCGACGAAAGAGATATGGGAATATTATCAGTTCATTATATATGCATATGTTTTGCAATATAGTAGAAGAGTGGTTTTCAGGGTTAAAGGAGATATGCCGGCCTAAATAAAAAAAATAAAATCACTCAGAGGGGGTGGGGGTGTCGTTGTCACAGGGGAAAACCCCTCATTTTCGTAAATTGTATCAGACGAAGATGGTGATGTGGAAAGGATGATTTATTTTAATCACAAATAATTCTGCGGCAGTTATATCAATGCTGTATCAATATGATATTATTAAAATATGAAGTAAATATGCATCTGAGACTGAGTTGTCAAACACTAACCCCAAACGTACGCCTGGAAGCCTAGAATAAGTCCAGATTTCCACAGTTTCATGAAAATAAAGTAAGTCTCTGGGCGCCTTTTCATTATATTTTATTATTATAATTTAGGGACTTTTTTCTCCTGTAAAATATGTTCATTTCAGAAGATAGATGTTAGTCTAGTCAAAAGTAAATATTTGTTTTAGAGTAACAGATATGAATGTAAAAGAAAATACTTCAATCATTAAAAGTTCTGTTTCTAGATAAACTTGCACAGTGTCGATAACGGTTTCACTGTAGACTTACGCCCAGGCTCTGAAAATATTTAAACGAATAGCTCCGTTTAAAATTGAAAGGAGCTAGAGAGAGTCAAAGAGAATCGAGAATTGCTCCATTTAAAGCGTATGTATTAAGTTTAGTTTTTCGCCGCTTTTAGCAATATTCCAGCAATATCACGGCGGGGGATACCAGAAATGGGCTTCATTTTGTACCCTTGTGGGGAATCGAACCCGGGTCTTCGGCGTAACGAGTGAACATTTTACCACTAGACTACCTCACCGCCCCCATGTTCACAGTAGACAATGATATGATGTAGGTATCAAGGTCATCCAACAGCTGCGGTGTTATGTTTATGGCTTATAGCCTCCATATACAGTATTTGAAGATCAGACTTAGTGTTATCCTGTCGTGGTTCGAATATTGCTAAAACGGCATAAAATTACACTCACTCGCAACCCTCGATTACAGAAGATGGGTGAATGTATCTATGCTGCGGTCATCTCTATTCCATAGTGATTTCACGACAGTATAGGTCAATGTTGTCGAACTAGAGGTGGAAGGGCTGAGCAACGATTCATACAGACGGGAAGGATTACACAGAATCTCATGTTTTCAAGACCCGACGAAATGCGTATCGGATGGTTACAATGGCTTCCAACGTACCTACGCGGAAACCGAGTCGTCTTTCTACGGTTAAAATTAGGCAGTCGTGACATATGTTTTTTGGCGTATCCAGGGCCCCGTTTCGCAAAGCCATCTTAACACTGACAAGATCGTAACTACGTTACTTTATCTTCGACTTGCGAGTCATACCCTACCTCTTTATAGGGTCAAAATAAGGCAGTCGTGACATATTTGTTTTGGCGTATCCAGGGCCCCGTTTCGCAAAGCCATCTTAACACTGACACGATTGTAGCTACGTTACTGTATCTTCGACTTGCGAGTCATACCCTACCTCTTTATAGGGTCAAAATTAGGCCATCGTGACATATTTGTTTTGGCGTAGCCAGGGCCCCGTTTCGCAAAGCCATCTTAACACTGACACGATCGTAGCTACCATACCTTATTCTCGACAGTCGTTGGGCGGTGGGGTAGCCTAGTGGTTAAAGCGTTCGCTCGTCACGCTGATGACCCGGGTTCGAATCCCCACATGGGTACAATGTGTGAAGCCCATTTCCGGTGTCCCCCGCCATGATATTGCTGGAATATTGCTAAAAGCGGCGTAAAACCATACTCACTCACTCACTCACTCTGGACAGTCGTACACTACGATCGCTCCGTAGAAGGAGACCTTTGTTGGAATGGTTGCTTAGTACATGATTTCCTTCAACCTTAATCTAATCTTCTTTCTTTATGTCACTTGACTAACACTGCTTGTTGCCATGGTGATGTCAAGCTACCATATCTCTTGTTTGGTATATAGCGTGTTAAAGCAAGGTATTGATATGCGTGTATGCTTTCAGATTTGTAGATAAGTGAACGAGTGGTGACAAGGACAGTATCGTTGTCACACACATACTCGTAGTCTCGCAGTACGCTCTCTCCGTAATTTCTGGAATACGTGGGCGATAAAATTCGCCATGAACATCATCCGTCACGTTGCATTGAGCAGTGAGTGACAGCAACTATACAGGCAGGTGTGATACGTACTTGATTTATAGTTGTGATGGTATAACGTAGAGAGTGATTTATATGGACTGGTGAGTCAGTTCCAAGTTGCACGTAAGAGAGCGTTCGGCCTGTGTTTCAAGCCTTGGTGATTTTGTAAGCGATTTGGTTTCATGCCTATGCTACGCTTATGTTGAATGCGCGATTGTGAGTATAGCTGGAAAGGAACCAGTCTGGTGTCAGTCAAGGACAGACAAATGCATTTTGGCATTGAGAAAAAAAGATTAGTCTGGTGCACGTTAAAAAAAGGTGCATGCTTGCATACATGCTGATTATAGAGGCTGCTAGAGCTTAGAGGGTGATGGATGTGAGCTGCTAGACCTGTGAAGGGGATGAGTGTGGACTCCTAGAGCTGTGAAGGGAATGCGTTTGGAATCCTAGAGCTGGCAAGGGGTTGAGTTTGAACTCCTAGAGCTAGGAAGGGAATGAGTTTGGGCTCCTAGAGCGGGGAAGGGGGGTGAGTTTGGATTCCAAGAGCTAGGAAAGGAATGAGTTTGGACTCCTAGAGCTGGGAAGAGATGAGTTTGGACTCCTAAATCTGGGAAGCGGATGAGTTTGAATTCCTAGAGCGGGGTAGGGGTTGTATTTGGACTCCTAGATCTGGGAAGCGGATGGGTTTGGATTCCTAAAGCTGGGAAGAGGGTGAGTTTGGACTCCTAGAGCTGGGAAGGGAATGAGTTTGGGCTCCTAGAGCATTGAAGGGGATGAGTTTGGACTCCCAGTGCTGGGAAGGGGTAAGTGTGGACTCCTAGATCTGGGACGGGGTAAGTTTGGACTCCTAGAGCTGGGAAGGGGTTGAGTTTGGACTCCTAGATCTGGGAAGGGGTGAGTTTGGACTCCTAGAGCTGGGAAGGGGTTGAGTTTGGACTCCCAGAGCTGGCAAGGGGTTGAGTTTGGACTCTTAGAGCTGGGAAGGGAATGCGTTTGGATCCTAGAGCTGGCAAGGGGTTGAGTTTGGACTCCTAGAGCTAGGAAGGGAATGAGTTTGGGGTCCTAGATCTGGGAAGCGGATGGGTTTGGACTCCTAGATCTGGGAAGCGGATGGGTTTGGATTCCTAAAGCTGGGAAGGGGGTGAGTTTGGACTCCTAGAGCTGGGAAGGGGATGAGTGTGGACTCCTAGAGCTGGGTAGGGGATGAGTTTGGACTCCTAGAGCATTGAAGGGGATGAGTTTGGACTCCCAGTGCTGGGAAGGGGTTGAGTTTGGACTCCTAGATCTGGGAAGGGGTAAGTTTGGACTCCTAGAGCAAGGAAGGGGTTGAGTTTGTACTCATAGAGCTAGGAAGGAGTTGAGCATAGCTTGATGAGCTGATCTCATGAAGAGTGGATGATGTTGGACTTTTGAGCTGAGAAAGGGGTGAACATAGATTACTGCCGCTGACAAGTTTCAGGACAAAGACAGACAATGATGACAAAAATGGTTTGTCAGATATATTCTCTGGTGTCTGTACGAGATACTAACTGACAACTCTACAATGTATTCCGTACCCACCTGCAGGCACAGATGAAGATATGATCATGAATTTTCTATGCATATATAAGAAATAATGTATTGTGTTTACACAAACTGCATTATTCATGCCTGTGTGTTCAATCTGATAGTGTTATTTTATTGTTGCCGCGTGGGAATTCCATATGAGCATATGATAGGCCTCCAGCTACCAAATGTGCAGGTCAGGCTTGATGGCTTTGTCATCTTAACCCGAAGGTGGTTGCTCGTTATATTAATCACTTGATTGTGAGGTCGAGAACTCTACAGGCTGCGTGACACAGCTGTTGCACTGAAAAGTGGGTGGATTTAGTTTTACGCCGCTTTTAGCAATATTCCAGCAATATGACGACGGGGGACATCTGTAATGGGCTTCACACACTGTAGGGAATCGAATTCGGGTCTTCCGCGTGACGAGCGGTCTGGCATGGTGCATCAATCACTGGGCTGAATGCGCCATGGTAGCCAAAGAAATAGTACCGTTGACGTGTGAAGACAGCAACATTGCTAAAAGCGGCATAAAACCATACTCGCTCGCTCTATTACCCACATGGGTACAACGTGGTAGCCAAAGAAATAGTACCGTTGATGTGTGAAGACAGCAACATTGCTAAAAGCGGCATAAAACCATACTCGCTCGCTCTATTACCCACATGGGTACAACGTGTGAAGTCTAATACTAGTGCCCCCGATATCACTGGAATGTTGCTAAAAGCGGTGTAAACCCATACCTC